CTGCCGCACAGGCCATATGAAAATGAGTGAGTACCGATAAATACATTCTTACGTGTGTCTTCACCGCCGGCATAGCAATATTCTGCACCAAGAGTGTAGAATGAGCTTGAACGGAAAGGAGACTGCGTTTCACCTTGCATGGCGAACCGTAATAATTAAGTCGACCGCTCAAACACTCACGGCAAGGCTATCTCGAGCGCAGACAAGAGAGACTTGCTCACGGTCATCGGTCAGCAAAATCAGAGCGCTGTTGACTTACCGAAAATATCACACTTTTACGTACTGTCATACATCTGCATTATACATTAAATTTCTTTGATCCGTAGCAAACAGATTCAGCCGATACGAGCGTACTAGACCCGCAACACACCGGGGCTGAGCTCCCGCTCATAGTCCTACCTAAGCTCTACCGTCATGACGACCGGAAACGACTCCACTCCCTCCGGGACCACACATTAGCGTTCGTGATTTTTTCTCCACCTTCTCAGCATACGTCAACACATAGGCTCCAATTTAGGTGCGCAGCTCAAGGCAGCTATACCTTTTTGCTCAAATGAGCGTTGATGATTGACACGCCATCGACACTAACTGTTTGGAAAGGCTTTGAATCCCTTCGACGCACCCTAGCGTGGCAGCCTTTACGTGGTACATGGCTATCCGAACTGTTCAATCTCGACATCGATGCCGTGGCCGCCTGGGCGACCATCCATTTAGCATGAACACAATCCGACAAATATATGACCAATCCTCAACTTGACAAGGCCCGTTCATTCAAATGATCCAGGGGAGAAAGCTATCCTAGTGCCTTCAATCAACACGCTAGGTTCCTTATTCGCAAATGACCACTTGCCCGTGCCGCGCCTGTCGTTGCTGTTTCACAAGAGGAAATACACAACCCATCTCAGTGCTGACACGTGAGGGGAAGCCTCGCTCATGAATCAAATAATAGAGCTGCCTTGGCGTCCTATCATTCTGATGTAGCTAACGAAGAACACCGCATCTGGTACCGCTTGTTACTAATATACATCTGCATTGTTCATTTTTCCTTCTCCATCTTTTATAGAACAGATCCACCCGACTCGGGCGCACTAAGGCCGCGATACACGTCCGCGACAGTCGCTTTTCGCCGACATCGACGCCGGTAAGGTTCATCCACATCATTAGTAGGTATAGTATATGGTTACTTTTGCCCTTCGTCTTTTGCCGTGTCCGTGAGAGTCTCAGCCCATGACGCTCGCGAGGAGGGCCATACGGACCTGCGCGCCAAGTGGTCAGTGAACAGCGCCGGGGACAAAGAAATGAGACGGGATCACACGCACGTAGAGCCCATACCGCATTTGTCGGAAGTAGACTGCCCTTCGGGAGTCAAAGTCGACGTCGGGATCGATTTCTGGATGGGAAGATTTGGTCAGTCAATCATCGTCAGGGTAAGAAACAGCACAAAGAGTGGCTGGCCGGAAGAGCTAATTGATAACTCACCATTCACCCGGGGCAGCGGGTGCATGACGATCATCTCCTCTCTCGCCCGCGATAACAACACATGATCGATCCGATACGCGTTCTTCACCGCCGCATACTTGCTCTCGTCCTTGAACCGCTCCTTCTGCATCCTCGTCACGTACAGCACGTCCGTCTCGCCGAGCACGTCCTCGAGCGATTCGCAGATGCGCACCTGCGAACCCGTGCGCCGCGCCGCAGAGACCACCGTCGCGGGCATCGCGAGCGAGGGCGGCGAGACAAAATTGAGGCGGACGCTGTACATGCACAGGAGGGTGACGAGGCTGTGTACGG